GGGAAAGTGGGGCCAGTGCTGGGTGTTGCTTGGTCCAAGTTGAATCCAGGAACTTGCTTTTCATCTAAGCAGTGATTAAAAAAAAAATCCTTGCTCATTCCTTGGGCTGGGGATTTAGCTCAGTAGTTCCACTGCCTGCCTCGCCAGTGCAAGGACCTGAGTTCGATCCCTGGTACAAAAGAAAAAAAATCATCTAAGCAGTGACATCCAGAATGCAGTTGAAGTATTGCTTCTGTGGTCAGAGTTAAGGGCAACAGAGTGGGAAATGGGATTAATGTGCATTTGTGGGAGGGGAAAGAAATCACCACGGGAGGGAGAGACTGAGGGACCTAATGTGTAGGAATGGGGTGGAACAGGGGAGGAGAAAGGCAGTGGTCAGAGGCAGGAGGAAGCCCAGTAGAATGTACCATCCCGGATGTCAAAGAAGGCAGGGTCTGAAGTGACTGGCTCAGAGGATGGAAAGAACGGGAGCCTGAGTTTTTTCTCTTCCCTTCCCCTCTCCCCACCCATGGGAGCTGTCATTTCATTACTGTCTTGCACTTGCTGTTCCAAGCACTTAGCATACTTGTGATCACTCAGTGTGATCATCGGGTCATTGTCAACAGCCTCCCCTCTGAACTGTGAACCCATGGAGGTTGGGACCCTGCCATCCTTGTTCTCTCTTCTAGCACAGCATTTAGCTGGTGTTTGGCACACAGTGGGGTTGATACCCCAAGTCATTGCTGCCCCTGGCAGGACTTCGGCAATCCATGTACCTTCCTTTCTTTCCCCACCTACTCTGCACAAGTTGAGAGGGAAGGATCTTAGGACTCTGCAGGAGAAAATGCAAACTGTATAGTTTTTAAGTTTTGGGTGCAGCAAATATGAGTGGGTAGCCAAAAAAATGGGTCATCCAAACTCAACGTACTGTACACGAGGACGGCTGGCCTTGAGGGCAGTCTCAGTATCAGTCCCAGAGCTTACAGGACTCAGACTCCAAGCCTCTACAGTGGCATCTTAGGATAATGGCATGTGCACAGCCTGTGGTTGGCCCCATAACCATCCCTGGAAAGTGTGCCCTCCTCTGAGCAGTATTTATCATTGCAATAGCTCTGTGATGGTTCCTTTGTGATGCTGGGACCCACCTATGTGAAAGTTTTGGGTTTTGCCTCCTTGGGGTGCCAGCCTGTCTTGTGATGAGGTCCCTGGGAGGTGGTATATGAAGGAGGCATTCCCAGAGGAGACTGGAGGAGCAAGACAGGAAAGGTGAGGAGGCAGGGTGTGCCTGCAGGCAGAGACCACTTCAGCCCACAGACCTGCCCTCCAGCCTGTGTCACACCTCACATTGTTCTGAGCTGGCATGAGATTCTTCTGCTCAGTGTAGTCTGTGTTAAGATCAGGGCAGCAGCAGGGCAGGGGTCTCATATTCTCAGACACTGCCCGTGTGGTGGCCAGGTGGACTCATAGCCCAAGAGAAGACCAAAAACAACCCATGTCAGGTGCTGGCCACTGGGAGCCCATGCTTGCTGATGTGGGGAGGGGTTCACAGGCCAGGCATGGAGTACACAGCTGTCTGTAACCCCAGTTACTCAGGAGGCTGAGTAAAAGGAAGATTGTGAGTTCCAGGCCAGTCTGGGTAACTTAGCAAGACCATCTCAAGAAAAAAGGTCTGGGGATCTAACTCAGTGGTAGAACATTTGGCTAGCATGTACAAGAGCCTAGCTAGGTTCAATCCCTAGGAGAGCAAAAACAAACAAAGTAGTAAGGAGGAGATCTAGGTGGAACATCACACTGTTCACCACAGCAGGTCAAGTGAGGGACTATTTCTGGGCCCCTGTGGACCAGAAGCAAGGCTGTTCGTTCCTCTGTCTCCTGCGGGGTGTTGTACCAATAGAGGCCAGCCCTTAGAAGCGTGGGTAACACCTTGAGTGGGCCTTGCCTACCAGGGTGCTCAGTAACCTGTGTTGAGCAGTGAAAGCGACATGCTCCAGGAATTGGGCCCAAGATGAGGCCCTATGCCTGGTCAGGGGCAGTCCCTGGAGACTGGCTTGTTAAGCCATGTGAATAAAGTAGGGGATGTGGGAGCCATGTTGCAAGGGATAGGAGAGCAGGAGGTTGAGCGGACTGTGGCCAGAGGCTGTTCCCTCAAGTAGCCTGTTGGTGGGTGGTGATGGTGAAGAAGTAAAGCCTTGAGTGAGCTCCAGGATGAGTGGAAGGGCCAAGACAGAGAGGCCCAATAAGGACAGATGGCAGGAGAGGCCATGGTGAGGGCAGGAGGAGGCAGAGGGGAGAATAGATGTAGATCAGCCTCCCTAGGAGAGATAGAGCCCTTAAAACTTCTTAGTGGAGGAAGGTTCAGGGGGCCAGGTGACAGGCCTGAGGCCATGAATATGAAAATGAGGACGTGCAAAACACAGAGAAAACATCTTTTCTGGCAAGTGGGAGAAAGATCACGTACTGGGGGAGTAGGGAAACACTGGCACTGTCGCTTTGGGGCATATGACCGAGACAGCAATAAATGACCAGTGGGAGGGCCCAGTGGCCAGGGTTAGATGGTGAGTGCTGTTGGTGTGGTTGAGTACAGCCAGTCCCTAGGGTGGGGAAGGTGGTCTGTCTGTGAGGGTGTCAGCAAGACAGCTGTTGCGCGTACATCTGGGGCTATCAGGTCTTTCTCTCTGCAGCAGCTGTTGCTACTTCTGGGTGGCACCTACTGTGTGTCAGGCTCAGTGGCAAATGTCCATCACTTAACCTTTCATCAGCTCTGTGGGGCAAGTGCTGTTTGACTAAGCCCGGTCTCGGTCTAGGTAGTCTGACTGCAGGTCCAGGCTCCCCGTGTGCTGAACCAGGGCTGTTGGGAGGCTCAACACACAATGAAATGCATAGGGCAGTAGAGTGCCACAGATGTGTAGCATGCCCCAGCCTCCTCCTCAGCCCCAAGAGATTGTTTGTCATCTTGACTCTTCCTCTTCCCGGAGAGATGGGTCGGCTCTGGTGGGTGGAGACTGCATTGTGAGGCTCTGGATAGGGATCCACTGGGTCAGAAGCCCAGCAGGCGTTACAGGTGTCTGTGGGTGCCTGGTCATGGGTCTGAAGTCCTAGGAGAGGATGTGTTTGTCCTGAATATGTGAGTGTTTGTGTGTGTGTGTGTGTGTGTGTGCGCACAGTAGTTGGTAATCTGCAGATGCAGGTTGAGGGAAGAAGAAATGAGGGATGGAGTAGAAACAGCAGGAACACATGTTCAGAAACAGCCAGGTGATACCCCCAGAAACACGCAGAGTGGCAATTTCTCTGTGTGCTTTCTCCAGGGGTAGGTGTAGTCTTCCTGTGTATGTGCACTATATGTGCCTGGACCTCTTTGGTCCAAGAAACACACAGAGTGGCAAGTAAATAGAGACTAATGGAAACACTCAGACATACTCACACCGTGTCTTTGTGTGTGTATTCTTGTGTATCTGTGTATTTTTCTGAGTATATGGGCATCTGTGAATGTGAATAACATGAACACAGAAACACGGGCACCTGCCCAAGGAAACACACAGCTCCCATATCTGTGTACACATAGGGAGGTTGGTGACACCACCATCAGGCTGGGGGGAGGGTTGACAACAGGAAGTGACCCTGGAATCCTGGCAGGAGCAGGTTGATGGGGCCTGATCCATTGCTTTCCCCCAAATCAATCAGCAAGCACCAAGGATTCCCTTGAGGTTTGTCAGCCTTTGGGGGCCCATGGGAAAGATGCCGGTAAGAACTGCCCCCACCATTCATATCCACAACAAGTCACAGTCTCCATGATCAGGTGGAGTAATCATCAAGTCATGGAGCCCAGCGCTAGGGAGGCCCTCTGGAGGCATATCCTGGCTCACTCCCTGCCTCTGTGTGCCTGGTCTTCAGCACTACAGTGGGGAGAGCAGCAGCGTCCACCTCACAGTTGGCTGTGAGGATCAAGACTATTCTGAGGGCCACCCTGGTTCATCCCGCAGTCATTAATTGAGCACCTATGGTGGGTTAGACCCTATTTTTGGCACAAAGGCTTCCAGCAGTGAGCAGAGATCCGTGTCCTCATGGAGTTTACCTTCTCCATGAAGGACACTGGTCAATATTGAGCCAACAATGTGTAAGACATCAGCACAGTGAATACCAGCAGACAAACCAATGCAGGATATCAGGGTGGAGAGGGACAGGTGTTGGAGCGAGCTGTTGTTTTGGAGGGGCTGGAAGTGGTGAAAAAGGCCTTGGATATGATAATGTTTGATTAGAGGATGGATGTGCAGGACTGAGTTGGTGGTAAGAGAGGAAATACCCATGTATCATCCTGTTGCTCTCCTCTTTTACAGTTGAAGAAAGGGAGGCACAGAGAGGCTGAATAATTTACCCAAAGGCTCACAGCCAATGAGAAAGAAATTTTAAGAGTTGAAACTAGGCCCCTTGGTTTCAGATCAGTAGTCTTAAGTGAGTGGTCCTCAATCAAGGGTGAGTTTTGCCTCCTAGGGGATATTTGGCAATGTCTAGAAACATTTTTGGTTGTCACATCGGGACTGAGGGTGCTACTAGCATTTAGTGGAGAGAGGCCAGGGATGTGGCCTGCCATTCCACAGTGTGTAGGACAGAGTCCCTACTGCCCAACAAAGCAGTATGCCAGCCACAGTACTGGTCATGCTGGTGCTGAGAAACCCTGATCTGAATCCATGCAAAGCACCAGTAGAGAGTAGGACATGTAGTAGGTGCTCAATAAATAGCTGAAGAGGTGGCAGAAATTGTTTGGAAAAGGTTGCAGGGGAGAAATGAATTTCAGGGAAGGAAAGTACATGTTAAAAAAACCCAGGTGGTGTGTGCTAGGTGGGTGTGAAGGGCAGCACTGCCCCAGGGAAGGGGTGTAGGTGAGGTCAGCAATGATGAGGTGGGTGGGGTGGGCTCCGGGGCTGAAACTGGGTCACCACAAGCTGCTCAACACTGACCAGGTGACTTGTCTCTCTGTACCCTACCCAATGTCTCTCCCTGTGTCTCTCGGCCTCTTTGCCCAGGAGATAGCCGGAGGCTGAAGGGAGCCATCCAGCGGAGCACAGAGACAGGTCTGGCCGTGGAGATGCCCAGCCGGACACTGCGCCAGGCCAGCCACGAGTCCATCGAGGACAGCATGAACAGCTATGGCTCAGAGGGCAAGTGAGTGTGGGGCCCCCACCTGGCCGCCAGCCTCCTGGCTCATAGCCTTCTTGGAGGCGGGGTGATCAATTCCGTGGGAGCCCTGGTCCGTAGGCTGGTGGGGCATTGGCTCAGGGCTCCCGGATGGTGCCCGTCTTTAGAAAGCAGAGAGGCAGCAGCGCTCTGAGGATGAGGCGGTGCCTGCACCTGTGTCCCAGCTCCACACTGTCTGCTGTGTGGCCCTCTCAGGGCCTGTTCCTGAGCCACAGTTTCCTCATCTGTAAGATAGTGCGGATAGCACCAACCACATGGGCCGTTATGAGGATTAAAGCTTTACAATCCACATAATCACGGGTCAGTGTTTACGGAGCACAGGACAGTGGTACATACGTGTTGTGCTCCAGTGTTGGTAAATAAGGGACTCGAGAGAGATTTTGTTATCGTCATTATTGTTTCCTTTTTTTTAGTTTCTTAAATCCCAGTTGGATTTTCAACAAGTCAAGTACAGTTTGATAGAAGGCATCTCATGTACATCAAATTGTAAGATGCCCAGGCTGCCTGGCACCTGACCGTGTTTCCCTCCCAGGGCTGCACATCTGAATCTCTGGGGAACCCATGACAAATGCAGATGGCAGGGCCCCGCTCCTGAGCCCCTGCATTAGTCTCTGTGAGTGGAGTCCAGAAACTCCATTTTTAAAAAGCTGTCTGGAAGAAGAATTCTAGACTGGGGGTTTCTCATCTTTTTGGAATTTGGGGAAGGCTTTGGGCCTGTTTTCCCCCAGCACACACTCATTCTTACACACATAGACCTATAAACCTGCTCTTCTCATAATGGCGGGGGTGTCCAGATTCCCCTAAAGCCTACCTTGGACCTCTGACAATGAAACTTAGGTCTAGAGTGTCTTTCATATGGTACGTATGACCAGAGCACTCAGAGAGGTTCAGGTCCTTGCCTGGGTACAGAGCATGCTGCAGAACCTGGCAGTCCTGATCCACAGGTGGGGCTTATTCCACAGCACCACGTGGCTTCACCAGCCTGTCCTCTGAGGCAGATTGGGCTTGGCGTGTTGTGATCCTTGGTGTGCACATCAGGGGACTGAGGCTTAGAAGAGCTAAGGTCTGTACTGTCCTGTGCAGATGTCACTAGACACACATAGCTGTTTAGATGTAAATTAATTCAAATTAAGTAAGATAAATTATTCTGTTCTTCTGTCACACTAGTCATATTTCCAGGGCTCAACAGCAGCATGTGGCTTATGGCAACTGTGTTGGTGAGTGCAGAAAATGGACTGTTTCCATCATGGCAGAAAGTTCTACTGGACCGCACTGGCTGAGGGGCTTATTCAAGAGCAGACATGAGCTGGGGAGTGGGGGAGTGGGGGGGGTTGCTGGGCCGGGGGTCTGCCTCCACCCTTTCTCTCCCTCATTTCTGGCTCTGCCTCTCAGCTGAGGGCTCTCCTGGCCAAATGCCTTGCCCACCCCCAGCCCCTCCCAAACCAGGCATCTCTGGCCTTGTGACTAGCCTTACCTTGGCAGACACTGCAGTTCCACCCACCTCTGAGCAGCTTTCCGGAGAGGGGGTGGGAAGAGGAGGACAAGCGGAAGACAGAGGAGGAGGAGGAAGAGGAAGGCAGCCAGTATTTTCTTTAACCTGAGACACCTGGCAGGGCTTGGAGGAAGATGTCCTCAGCCCTGGGGGAACGGCAGGCCCCTGCTGACAGATGTGTGAGCCTCGTGGGCTCAGGAGGCTCAGGGTCCAGGCCTGGCTCTGCCACTCACCCCCCTGGGTGGCCTTGGGCACATCTGCAGACCTCTCTGAGCTCTGTTGGTCTCATGGGCAAGTCAGGAGCACCAGGTGTGGCCCATTTCAGAGAAGAGGAGGGGAAGGCTGATGAGGGTGCACGACTTCCCCACAGGGAGAACATAGGATGATGTTGTGAGCAAGAGACAAGGTACCTGCATGTAAAGAACCTTGGAAGGTGGCTTTAGTATTACTTGCTAAAATGTGCTTGAGAGAGCCAGAGAATCAAAATTACATTACAGACAGGTTCAAAGCCAGGACTCAGCAGTCAGACAGCCCTGGCTTGGGCTCAGTTCTGCTTTGTAGTAGCTTTTTGGCTTTGGGGAAGTTACTTTCTCTCTGAACCCAATTTCTCCATCTATTGAAAAGGGACAGTAACAGTAAAGACCACTAAAAGAATTTTTGGGAGGATTGAATGAGTTAATATATGAAAAAAACACTCAGAGCAGTGGCCTGCACATGCCAAGTACTGGAATTATTCACTGGTAGCGTTGCTAATTGAGTGTTGGGTATTTTGCTGCTTGGGGTCAGTTGCGTTCTAATGGATACCACAAGCCACCCCAAATACAGTCGTATCTATACAGTGCTTAGCACAGAGTTAAGTACTGAGCAAATGTTGACTGTAACTATTAGAAGGTTTGGTGTGCAGGGTTGAACCCAAGTGAGGAAGGATCAGGAAGCTGGAAGGATGTTGGCTCCAGCCCTGGTAGCAGTGTTGCCCTCCTAAGAGGGGCTGGGGCACCAGGGCAAGGGAGAGGCATAGATGGGGCAGGGGAAGATGACGCTGCGGTCAGCCTCCTCCTCGTTCTGTGGGTATTTGGGGCACTGCTTGGACCCAGCTGCCACCCTCCAACACAGGAAGGGGTGTGGCCTTCCTCGCCTCTCTCACCACCCCCTGGGGTCCTGCCAGCCCAGCTGAGGCTTTCAGGAAGCCAGCCTCCCTTGGCAGTCCCTGAGGCTGAGGGATCAGCCTGACTGTGCACTGGGTCCCCAGGCATATGCATTCCTGCAGGGGAGAGCTAGGTACTCTCCCATGGATTTTTATCTCAACAAACGTTACTGAGCATCTATAGCATGCCAGGCAATTGGGCTAGGCACCTCTGAGACCCTGCCTACCATGAACTTCCACTGTAGGACACTGACCAAGCACCTAGCAGAGTGGTGACAGCTGCCAAGGGCGGGTTCAGGAAACTGCCTGTGATCTGAGGCATAGAGAAGGAGTGTGTGGGTTGGGTCACTGTCAGAGAGGATGCCTTGGGCATAGTAACATAATACCAGCAGACAGTGGCTTTAGCCCTTGTGATTCAGCATGGTCTGTAGTCCAGCAATCAGCACATCCTGGGAGTGTGTAAGAAACATAAAATCTTGGGCTCCACCCCAGACCCACTAGGTCAGAGTCTGTATTTTTTATTAGTACATGTTTGCAACATGTAATGATTACATCTGTTGTAGAGAGTATGAACATGTGCATAACACATCTGAAGTCTTTTGTCCTCTCCCCCTCCTAGCCCTTCCTTTTCCTTCCAACTCTTATCACTCCCATTTGAAAAGCTCTATTTCCATTTTGTTCTTCAATTCTCTCTGCAGAATCTATATTTTAATAAGATTCCCCCATCGGGTTTGTGTGCATGCTAAGGCCAAGAAGCCCAGGCCTGATGTTAGTAGTGACTGTTGCTACTGTGTGAAGGAACATGCTGTGTGCAGGCACTATGCCATGTACTTTTACTTCTGTTGTCTCATTGAATTCTCACAACCATTTGATGCTGGTAGGGCCATCAGTATCCCCACTTTACAGATGATGATATGGAAGCCTAGAGAGAGAGTAAGCAGCCCAAGGTCATCACAAAGCAAGAGGGTGACTGAGCTGGGATCCAAATTCAAGCATTTGCAGTTACACTCAATTCTTTCTCTCATTTAATAGTTGTAACTATGAAGATTTCTGGAAGCCAGGATGATTTGGTGCCTTAATGATGTCACCAGGGGCTCAAAGTTCCTCCATCTTTCCCCTGTGCAGCATCAGTGTAGTAGACCAGTCATGGTTTATCCTCTGGGGCAAGGGAAGGGCTTCTTTTCCTGTCCGTTGTTCTGCCTCGTTAAAAATCAAGGTTCTGATTGCTAAGTTTGAAGGGGCAACCAGCCAAGCTCTCATCCCTACAGAGCAGGCCCATCTCACCCACATAACAGGCAGGGTGTACAGTTCAAGCCCCCTAAGAATAGTGTCTCCCTACATACACATCTCTCCCTAATTGTAAGACACTCCCAGTTGACTCTCTGTTTTAATTTGGGTTTTCTCGGAAGCAGACCTGAGACGTGGATTCAAATTCATTGGAGACATGATTCTGGAAAGTAATGGGAGAGGGGCATGTGAGAGAGGCAGGGCAGGCAGGTATACAATGAAGCATGCTGTAAGAAGCCACCCTCCACTGTGGACAGCCAGGGCTTAGTCCTGATGGGGACCTCTGGCAGCCAGTGTGGAACATGTACCTGGGAGTTACCCCAGGAGGCGAGGGAGTGGAGGTATTTACATTTCTTCTCTTACCAATTACTAATAGATGGCCACTGTCCATTAAGCCTCTTGCCCTTGTAGCAAGGTGGGCTCGGGGCTAGAGAAATTCTTCTTGGGCCAGAGAAACTCAAATGGATGCAGATACTAGCAGTTAGCAGTCACTAGTGCTGACTGGTATAGGATTGAGAAATGGACCAGCAGAACCTTCCACATCTGAATACACAGAACCCTCATCTACCAGCTGCCCAAACCAGAAACCTGGGGCCTTTTCTAGATGGCTCCCCCATCTCATACTCTTCATCCAAACCACAGTTGGTTCACCCATTTTACTCTTCATTGTCCCTTGGGTCCATCCATCCCCACCCATGAGTGGCCGTGCTTGAGGCCACTGTTCAGTCTTCACTGTTCACTGAACACCTGTAAGTCTCCTTTTTGGTACTAACTCTGTAGTCTGTCTCCCAGCACTTACATCCCCTGACCTCTCCCAGCGGCTCTCAGTCCCCGGCCATATGCCCCAATCCACCACTCTGAACCTCTGCACTTTCCTGATTCAACCCAGGTCCCTGTGCCCATTACTCCCTCTACCTGGCACTCCCTTTTCTGCCCCTGCTCTTTCTTTACCCTCTGACTCATTCCTCCTCCAGATTTCAGCTCAGAACTGGCACATAAGCTTCCGTTCATGTGCCAACTCCAGCTAATTGATAGTGGCTCCCT